CATAAGCTGAAATCCTGCCCTGTCTACATCCCTCATTCTGTGTTTAATGCATAGAAGTGGAAGTTAAACAACCAAACAGACCCACGTGGGGTGAGATTTCACTTGACTCATTTCCCAAACTCTCTTTTCCAACATTATGTTCTATTGAACATGGAACTCAAAGCTGCTTTCTAGCTCCCTTGAAAGCATCAGCATTAAAAAAAAAAAAGTAAAAATTTCCACTCCCTGATTTCTTCATGGGAGAGTCTCAGCTGCCTGAAATCAGCATGAGCTCCTTTTTAATAAGTTGAGCCACTTCTGCACCCCTCCGCTCCTTTACACACTATTTGACAGCTTATAATAAAATGTTTTAGATTCCTAATGCAGTGAGTACCAGCCAGCAACAGGAAACATTAATAATTATCCAAATTTTCAATCACTTTAACTGAATTTTCAAAGTAGCACATTCACAAATTTCCTCCCTGTATGTGGCTAGAAGCTGAAGAGCAAAACTCTCCGTAGCAAAAGCTGAAGCTGCTAGGAAGCCCAGCAGAGCAGCTAAGGCAGAGAGCTTTGAGCTGCTGTGCATCGCGTGTCCTGATCTCACGCCTCTGGCACGGAGTCAGGGCCAGCAGCACAGGTAACTGGTACGCTGAGCACTGCCTTAGGATGAACGTTTGCAGCACTTGCTCAAAACAGGCGTGATGTTCCCAGGATGTTACGAGGAAAGTGAAGCTTTCACAAATGGAAACAGCCAATACACAAACAGAAAAGGCTGGTTCTGGCAAGGGTTTATACAGCACCATTTCACCCAGAAAAAATGTACTGTCTTGAAGTGAGTGCCGTTCAGATGCACACCAGCAGGTTCTGTGTTTTGCTTTTTAGGATGTGGGTATGCCTATAGGCACATTACTGCAGTTCTCTATTTTCACAGAGTGCAGCCTGTTTCTATGGTGCAGAAAAGACAGAGGCAGCAAATACAGCTCCAGAAAATCTGAAGGCTATTCCCTCCCTCTCTCACTTCATAATTCCCTCTTTACTGAAGGACATGGTAACACAGTCAGTCAGTATATATGCTAAAAGCAAAGGGAATGTGTCATTCAACACAGCTGGATTGAGCAGTCTTACTTAAACACCTTCCAAATGCATTAGAAAAGGACACGCAGCAGCAGCCCAAGGACACAAGGCAGCGTTGGAACCCTATAGTTTCCCTCTAACCTCTGAGACTGCCATTGTATTTCACAGGGGTCTGCCAACTGTTAGGGCATGCTACCACGTTACCCCACGCAGAAGCAGGAAGGGTTAAAGAACAGTCACTGGCAATAATGTCTATCTTTCCAACTCTTCCACGTTTTTCATGCTCTACATCTTTCTTCAGTTTTCCGTAGGGGTTCTCTTCATCTTCCTGCCTTTCCTTGTGATCATCTTCCACCATTTTTTTAATTTCTAATTTGAACTTTCAATTAATTTTTCTTTGTTTCCTCCTCACCTTCATAATTGTGCCATAATGCATATTTAAGATGCTAACAGCACACAGGATTTTTAGAAGAACACAGGACAATAAGTGAGCTGCTTATAAAATCCAGATACACACACCACAGCGGCAGCTGGTGCATGCTGACTGCACCGAGCAACATGGCTGGGGCTTCAACGGAAGCTCATATCCTCAGAAAACGTGGCCCTGAGGTGACAGTCTCCTTAGTATCACTGATTTATCCTAATTTCCCACTAATGCAATTCCAGTGAACTCTACAGGAATAAAATGGAGGGAGATAAAAAAAGGAAAAATAGCAAAAGAGCAAAGAAAATAATACAGAATGGCTACAAGGGCAGCTTTGCTTGTATATTAAAGCTGTTGACTGGATTGTGCAGTCCCCCTCCTCAAAAAAAAAACCAACCCCTTCTATGATTTCAAAATGCCACTAATTAAAAGCCAGTGAATACATTCTGAGTTTGGATTCAGATGCCAAATTTCCACAAAGTCATTTGCAGTAATAACAGTAAAGATGAGAGAGAATTTTCTCTGTAACTGCTGCAATATTTTCCAAATACATTCAGCTGAATATAAAATTTAGTTTTGTGCTATTTTTTTATTTGACTAGCATATGGTAGTGAGAGGTTCAGATAAGTCACAGAGGGCTGAGTCTTGGAGGATTCAACGAGAAAGTTGCTTGAGATGTGCTCAGCATAATTTTATATTTTAGAAGCAAATATTCTTAGTTTCCTAGCATGATTTCATAAGAGAGTCATGTAACTTCTTTTTTTGTGTGTTTATTATCCTCTAGATTCTGGAAATCTTTCTGTAGGCTGAGAGCAAATTACACTGGAGTCACAACTACAAAACCATGGCAGTCCCAGTTAGTCCTATGCTATGCTTTTGCTCTTCCATAGCTTAAAAAACCCCCAAGAACCGTATGAGTGCCTTAGGCTTCCACTGTGATTTGCAGGAGCAAGATTTCTTTAACAGACCGTATGCTTAGCTCAGTCTACACTATCTACCACTATGTATAATCACAGCATGTAAACATGACAGTCTGGTCAGATTCTATGTTCAAATCCCACAATTTAGGTTCTTTATGGTGGATCATTTTAATGTAGAATTGTGAGACATAAAATGCTAGACCTGCATATGCTTTCTATAAATCTTAGAGTGTCTTCTGCCTCTGTAATATCTGAGCACAAACCTGGTTCTTGCTCAGTGCAGTAATCCCACAGGATTAAGTCCTACTGTAAATACCAGACAAATTACAATCAGATTAGATGGGCAGTCTGTTCATTTACTCAACACAGCTGCACTCCAGAGTCTCTTCACCAGTGGTGTCTATTTATAACACAAATGTTTTGTCCTTAAACTAAATGAACACAGTTTCTATTTCATATCTCTCTTGTCTTACCATTTGTGACCAATAAGGAGCACATTTCTACTTCCTAAGGAGCAAGTAGAATATTCCTTGAGAGACCAAGAAGAAAACTGTTCTCAGTACAGATCTACAGGGCAAGGTTTGTTTTAAATTTATCAGTGAAAAGTCCCTTGAAAGGTCTGCATTCAATTTCAGTCAAGTGGAATACAGAGAATGTCCTTCTGGAAGTAAGTACAAGAGAGCAGCACAGATTTGCTGAAGTTTCCCAGGACTTGCCACATTTGCTGCAGGAATTGGAATTTCCATAGGTTCCAAAGCTGAAACTTCTGCCTTCATCAGTGAGCGTGAAACCATCCAATTTACAAGGCTCACCAGCTAGATCGGGTGTAGCATGAGCTTTACAAGGGATTTCTGCTCACTTATTAATAAAAAGCACGTTTCATAATGTTCAATATTGTCTGCACTTTGCCAAAATCTCCCTACCACTTCACTGCAATTATTTATAAATGTCACATCACATCCTTCCTAATTGTTCCCAATTAAAAGAATTGTCTTGCCTTTTAGGTACAAACTTGCTTCCATCCAGCACACAAATCTGGTGTTACTGTATTTTTATTACTGTGATCACTTAGTGGAATCCTGAGTTATGGAGCTAAGGCTTTCATCTGGCTATTTATGATTGCAGGCCACAAAAATATTAAAGCCAAATTAAGCAAACTGCTGCACCAACTTGTATCCTCAGTATCCTGCTAACTCCATTCTCACCTCCACCTTCTGATTTCAGAGTCATTATTCCTGATTTGCACAGAGATAAATAAGAATAAAACTGCTGAAGTTGGGGCAATGGAGTCCCTAAAAAAAAAAACAGGAATGCTTTGTGTGCCAACGCAAACCATTTTCACCAAGCTTGTCCATACTTATTCACCCAACTTAACCATGGGCAAGCAACCTCTGTCCACGATAAACCAGATGGGGTGTTTTTCTGAGCCCCCCTGAGTGTGGCCCAAAGTGACGTGACCACGCTGCAATGAGTAATGTAACAGAGCGACACAAACACACCCAGAAAGGCAGTACAGAATTCAGCTCTCTTCTGTAGCCATATGGTATCCTGGAAGCCAGAACACCCTCCCTTATCAGGTATAAATCAGCACGGTCCATCACATGGTCTGTAACATATTACAGCTGCCAAATAGGCATAATGTGGCAGGGCGACCTTCCACTGTGGGACGTCTTTGGCACCACTGAACAGGAACGTTTTTGTAACAGAAATACTGGTGCCAGGTTCTGCTTTCACTCACACCTGAGACTCCTGCTGATTTCATTAGGAGTTTCTGTATTTCACTAGCTCAGAAAAAGGTGTACATTGTGTAAACCTGAATGCATATGGGACAATGATTTTAGGATACAGCATATGAAAAGTCAATATTGGCTTAAGGTTTTCCTGCACAACTTCCTCCTGTGCTTTTCTCTCTGTGAGTAATGTGTTATAGGTCATGTTGGTTTTCAGACCAATCCACAGGATGGCCCCCCAACCAGTTACACTAGCACAGCTGGAAGAGATACTCCATGGCACAATACAGAAGGAGGCAGAGGGAAGGAGATGAATGGTTTAAGCTGGTACCTCTGGTTGTCATCTTACACACCATGGTCACTGGTCAAGTTAAGGGTGATCAGTGGATATTTGCCAAAATCCAACTATTGTCTGGTTATTTTGCTAGCTTTATATTATTTATATATATTTATATTATTTTGCTGCTTGGACAATTACTTTGTCTTAGCATCCATCAAGAAAGGAAAGATGTGATGTGGTGGAAAGATCCCAACTCACATGCAACCCTTACAGATGTGGAAAAGTTCATGAAAACTGACTCATTTTGAAAGAACAAGCCATGAATTGTACTTGTGCAGTATGCATATTTTAAAAAATAAAATCCTTTTTTTTATATCTTTATATTTTGTTATATCTCCAAGGGGTTTTTTTTTAATCTTAGAGATATAACAATATGAAAACTAAAGCAATTTTAACAATAAGCATTTTTCTTCCCATTACAATAAATTTACATAAGGAATTCCGACTTCTGAGTTATTCGATTTTTGCAAGCATTTGATTTAGTAAAATACAGTGAAAGATATTATTCCACAAGGAAAAATGAGGAGAAATTACATCAAGAACTTACTTTCTGCAGGTTCCTTAGATCTTCTGCCACTGGAGGACTTCCTCAGGAGACTTCGTCCAGAGGTAAAGAGGCTGGTTAGTTCTTCCAGAGGACTGGTGGGTGTCCGAGAACGGGAACTGCTCTGAGATGATGACCCATAGGTACTGACCGAGGCATTTACCATCTTTCCTCCTTCTTGCAATGTGTTTCTGGCTGTAGAATGAGGCACTGATGGAGAGCTTCTTGAGAGACTTCCTGAATGTACAGAGTCATAAGGTGGAGGTCTTTTGAGGCTTAAGGGAGTAAGAGACCTACCCATACTGACAGGAGAAGGTGAGGCAGAGTGACTTTTAGGATAACCATGTGGAGACTGTGTTCTGTATAAGGTAGAAGGATGAGGAGGTGAGGACGTGTGCCCAGGCGTGCTAGTTCCATGAGATACCGTCTGGTCTTTCTCCAGTTTTTGATGGCCTGGTGTATGAGGTGGCAGTGATGATGGAGAAGCTCCAGCTTGTTGTTTGATGTAAGACACATTTTCTAAAACGGGAAGCTTTGTGACCTCTAGTGGAGTTAGAGGAGACTCATCAGAATTCGGGGAACATTGCACTGGTGCTGGTGGGAACACCAGCAGTGGAGGTCTGTGAGAAAGCAGATTTGGAAATGGTGGGGGTATATCACAAAGCAAGCCCTTGGGAGTAGATGGCACTGAAGACTTGGTGAAATCTAGGTCAGGCACTGTGGGAGTAGCACACTGAGAAGAACAAGTGTGATGGTCATATTCACATTGACATTTTGAATCTTGGCCTACATCATCAAATATAGGGTATTTCATCTCCTCATAGACTGCTTCGCTTTGGTCATCCTCATCTCTTTTGAAGTCTCTGAGGATATTCCCAACCATTTCAATATAAACAGGCTCTTCTTCCTCTGTGTCTGGGGCAGGACTGCTGACCTGTGATAGAGAGGCATCCCTAGTGAGTGCTGTCTTCATAGGGCCATGCTTTTTGATATACGTTTCATCAAAAGATGTGCTTAGCTGAGTGTTTGGATTTCGTTTCGGCTTAGGAGGTGGAATCTTCTTTGTGTATTCATCACTGTGAGGTCTTGGTTTGGCTGACACTGAAAACAGAACAAAATATAAATTCATCAGAAGTATATAACACACTTTGTTAGCCACAGGATCTCTGTTACAGTGTCCTAATTCTGGAATGGATTTCCTGGGACCAGCCTGTTGCTCATTTTCTCTGGTATTACATCAGTAGAAAACTATAAAAATAACACCCTATTCAAAACACTCCTAATCTTACCCCAGAATGCTCTGACAGTCCAGTATTAAGTAGCTAGTGAGCAGTTGCCTACCTCCGAGACATCTGTTCTCTCCCAAACTCTTTGGGCAGGGGACTTTCCATTTTTAAATATTATGCTTTACAAATATATCACTGTGGGATTTTAAAGACCCAAAGAGTTGCCAAAGACATAAAACTAAGTACGGAGATGAGCTCCTTATGGCTGCAAGAGAACAGTTAAGATGCTGGACTTTCACACTGACAGGGATGTAACTCTACAGTGACACAGTGATGAATCAAGACCTTTTTATTTATTGTAAACTTCTTGCATAAAGCACAACAATTCCCTCAGCACTGACAGAGAAAGAAAACACTCACATACAAATACTGTAAAATTTGCTGTTGGGATAATCCTAATCATTTATCTGGGCTCTAACCTATGATTTAGTGAAGACTTCAGTGAAGTAAAGGGGGAATAAAGTACCTCACAGATTCAGATCCTTCCCAAACAGGTTACTTCTAGAAACAATAGATCATTTTGTCTTTGCAATTATAAACCAAAATATTGTGATGAAATTTGTTTGAAATGAGAGGTCAAGGGTTTCTTAGAAATTCTCCTTTATGAATTAAACAATAAAGAAACTCATGGAAATTGCATTTTGTTCACTTTGCATAAATAGTTAATAAAACATCTCATTAAATGTTGGGATTAATAAAATACCCCATTAAATGTTCAGGTGAAATCAGTTTTTATCCTAAGCAGACTCAACAAACTCACTCAGAAACAAAATTTTCTACATACACTAAGCTGATTTATATTCTTACAGGGTAAATAGTTCTTGCATTGAAAGCCTTGATACCTCATTGGTAAGTTTTGCAATTAAAAAAATCCTAAACTCCAGGCCAGTTTAGAATGGCAGCTTTCCTGTCTTACCAAACTTTGCTGCTCCCTGCAATTCACTGCTACAGATCCACCACTCCAAACTCAGTGCTCAGAGAAATTTCCAGACACCTTCTGCTGACCCATCAGAAAACAGCCAGCAAATATCTAATGTTAAATGAAGCAGGCAGTGCTCATGGAGTTAAAAAATCTCTTTTAGAAACAGCCTCAAACATATTACTAAAGGCAGCAACGATGCACTGCTCTGCCAGTTGAAAGGAAGTATTTTGACAGTCTGCGAGGATGCTGGCTCAAGGCTGAAAAGACGTTTGCATTACAGCACCTTACTAATGTGATTTGGTCAGTATCAGAGGAGGATTCAAACATAGTTTTAGCACTGTGTCACACATCTGCTTCGATCTGCTAAATAACCTTTCTTCAATTCTTTCAAGGCATGGCAATGAAGGCAGATGTTAAACAAGATTCCGGTTTTGTTTAGGAATGAGGAGCTGTGAACGTATGCATGTGCACATATACAAAGTAAGCATTCATCAACAGCATTTGTTTAAGCTTAACATATAACTAAGGTACAACAAAGCAAAAAGAAAAAGAAATCTTGCCAGGACTTTAAAAAAACCCCAAAACCCACAACTCAAAAAATTATATTATACTTTCATGACGGTTCCAATTAATGAGTTCCACTTTGCAGCAGGCTAGGGACATGCAAAAGCTACCACAGAAAAGAGTATTTGGTAGCTTGATAGTTTTTCACTATGTGGATATATCCTAATGCAGTTTAAATTTGTCTTTTTAATTAACCCAAATTAATTTTCTTGAAAGTATTAGGATAGACTTTTGGGAATGAGATGTAGGCTACCAGAATCACTCGGGCTTTGCAGAAAATATTACTCCTGATGTAGCTGACAATACCAGCAGATTTTTCTTGCTGTGCTTTCAGCTAAATCACTATTTCCTTTCTGTTTAGTCTGTTATTTGTCTAATGTGTTCATATAGATTCTGCTGACATAAGCTTGATCTCAGTCCTCTCTCTACACCTCTGTTAATCTGATTTACAAGCCTGGCAAAAGCAATCTTATTCAGACTTGTGTCATTAAAATGAAGAGATAGTCAATGAGACTGGCACAAACTGCCCGATCACTTCTGAAGAGGTTGCCCAGGACCTGAACTCTCCTTTAGACTGGTTAAAGGATTACAGACTTTGCTGCAGTTGAAAATTGTGTATTTTGTATTCAGAGGCTTCCTGCAGTCTTTAGTTCCCTGTGCATTGTGCTACCATCCTTAATGGATACCTGAGATACAAACACTCCCCGCTCCTCTGCCTTCCTCAGACCCCAGGTCCCTATGCTGTCTTCTACATCTCCTGAGCCCTGGGTGTCCCACTGAGAACATGCTCTGTCGCCATATTGCACTCTTCCATCTCTTTATCTGGAGAGATGCTAATGATGGACAAAGTAATCAAAAGATGCTCTTGTGCTGGAGGTCATTCAAGGCTCGTGATATCAGTGTTAACTGATATCTTTTACCTAAAAAATAGCTAAAGTAGTTGAGAGTACTGCATTTTGAAACAAATTATTAGAAATAGCATATTTTGCCTCTTCCCTCCTTCCATTTTCACAGTTTTTATCCAACTGATGAGGTTCTGCCACGTAGTCTAGACATATCCTTAGGTGTTGGGGTTTGCATATACAACATTCACAAGTTATTACATTACACATAAGGAAATGAGAAATGTCATGGAAAAATGATTGACATTCTGCCATTTAGTCTTGTAAAGTATTTTTGCATGGGTTGAAATTAAGTACTGCAGTGACACACACAGCATTCTCATCTGTCATTGCATGATATGTAGCATTAGCCTAAAATATCTTGGTGACATTATCAACAAAAAGGTCAAATGACCCAGTCTCACTGTATGATGCACAGGGTGAAACATGACAAGGTGAAAGATTTACTTTCCATTTTCTATTAAAAGCATTTTTTCCTCTGTCACAGTTTATTTTATTAAAGCATCTATTTTCAGGAGGTGGTATGTTACAGAGATCTTTTTCCCTCCTTGACAGACTGGAATTTTCAAACTAAAATTTAAAACTAAATGCTTTAAATATTTTATAAACCTTATAGAGGTACAGAGGTACCTCATGTATGCTACATGGAGCAAGAATATTTGGTGCTATAAGACCTCTTTGAGAAAATACACAGGTAAATGTATAGGGTAAAGAGCAAAGGAATGTTTTTACCATGACTAGGAACAGAGGAACTGCTCAACACCCACTGGGAACTCCCCTCAGCTGCAGTGGGGCATTCAGGAGGCAAACTGAATTAGCTTTAAGAAGGCTATGATGCAAAACACTTATCATGTTTATTTTTAAAAGGTTTTGACTCTGAAACACAGCTCCATAGCAAAGGCTGAACTCTACAGCACACCAGATAACAGAATATAGACCATGAGCTACCGCTCCAGCTCAGAATAACAGAAAAAAACCCAATAACCCCAAAACAAAACACACCAAAAAACCCCAACCATGAATCCTGCAACCAAACAGAGCTGTGCAAAGCTAATGAAAGGAGCAGGGAGTATTTGTGCAGTTCCTGGGTTACCAACATTTGGCAGGGATAAATGTGCGTGAATGCAGAAGCCCTGGCAAGATCCCAGTCAATGAAAGGAGATTATTTGGCAGTCTCCATAGAGGAAGAGGCAAGATTGCTTTAAGTACTTGACATTTATCAGGCAGAAAAAGCATTCCGTGCCTGCTGGGAACATAAACTCCTATGAAAAGCAAACCATGCTGACATATTGGTGACACACATACTGCCGTGTTGCCTGCTCTAAACATGGAGTAATTAAGTGCTTTTCAACATGGATTACTACATCCTTGGTGCAACTGTTGCCAGTAACTTGTCTTGAAACTGCCTCTCGTACGTCAGAGCACACAGAGCCCGATCCACAGCTAAATGGAAGAAATGAAAGTGAGGACTATTTCTCTCCCTGCCAGGTTCAAATTCCCTTAATCAGCCATGTCAAAGTGCACCACAAAGCTCTGTGAGTGCTTCTATTACAGACACACACAAACACAAGGGATCATCAGGTCTGCGAGGAGTTTGAGCAGACTGGAGGCAATGAGAGAAGACAGCTCAGCAACTGCTACACGGTCCTCTGCCCTGGCTGCAGAGGCTGCGGGAGCTCGGGGTGCTATGCTACCGACTCCTTTTTTGCATTAGAACTGACCAAACAACCATAGTTGATAAACTGAAGGCACAATGATCCTTGCCAACAAATCTGAGCTCCACGGAGTTTCTGCTGCTTGGGCAGGAACACTCCATGTTTAATAGCATCCTACTACCAAGCAACTATCTAGCTCTAACAAGCTGCAAGGGAAACGAAACATGAAGGCTCTAATAATTTCTGTTCTCATCTAGAAGCAAGAAGCACAGTGCTTAAAATAGCCTTATGGAAGCCCTACTGAATAAGCAGAATATGACATTTTTGAAATGAGATATTTGTAGTGCAAAGGTTATGCATAGCTTTCAGACATGCCCAGATAATCTGCCTTTCATAGTTAAGTTTGGAAATATAGAATGCTTCAGGTCATCCTATCCTTCTGAAGTACTTTTTCACTCTTTAAGGAGAGATTGAAATACGAAAATATGTTATCAGGTTATTTTTTATTATTTGCTCGCTGTATAAGGAATGAGTGAAAACATCTAAAAACTAAAATGAATTTTGTCATTTTCTATTGTCCTTTGGGTGTTTACCAGCTCTTGCAGTTCAGAGACCAAGCTGATTTATTGCGCTGTTCACTGTAACAAACAGAATAAAAACACAAGTAACAGGAAAATTCCTCCCTTTCAGTTTTTACAAGATCCTATAGCATTCAATTTCTTTCTGAATGAAGGGATGATTTGGGGCCTAAAATTTTTTTAAATTCTTAAAA